ATAGCAGTAAAATGAAAAAGAACCAACTATATGGGAAAACATATTTGCCAATGATACCTTAAACAAGGGTTTGATCTCCAAAATATATAAAGAACTTACACAACTCCACTCTAAGAAGACAAGCAATCCAATTAAAAAATGGGCAAAACACTTGAACATACACTTCTCCAAGGAGGACATACAGAGGACCCAGAGACATGTGAAAAATATGCTCAGCATCATTAGCCATCAGAGTGATGCAAATTAAAACCACAATGAGATACCACTTTACACCTATGACAATGGCCATCATAAACGAAGCAACAAACAAGTGTTGGAGAGGATGTAGAGAAAAGGGAATGCTAGAGCACTGTTGGTGGGAATGCAGACTGGTGCAGCCGCTGTGGAAAACAGTATGGAATTTCCTCAGAAAACTAAGAATGGAACTGCCTTTTGTCCCAGCAGTTCCACTGATGGGATTAATGTTCTAAGAACCCTGAAACACCAATCCAAAAACACTTAACGCACTCCAATGTTCATAGCAGCACAATTTACAATACCCAAGTGCTGGAAGCAACTTAAGTGCCCATCAGTAAAAGAATGGATCAAAAAACTATGGTACATTTACACAATGGAATTCTCTGCAGCAGAAAGAAAGGAGGAGCTCCTACCCTTTTTGACAGCGTGGATGTAACTGGAGAGCATTATAGTAAGTGAGATATGCCAGGCAGTGAAAGACAAATACCATATGATTTCACCTTTCACTGGAACATAATCAAGAAACAAAAAAAAGCAAATAAAATATAACCAGAGACATTGAAATTAAGAACAATCTAACAATACCAGAAGGGAGGACAGAGGGGACAATGAGGGGAAGTGTTTTCAGAAACTCCTGTAAAGGACACATGAACAAAACCAAGGGGGAAGGTGGAAGCAAGGGAGGGAAGTGGGTTTGGGTTTGGGGGGAGTGTTTAAGGGAAAGTGCAGACAACTGTAATTGAACAATAAAATAAATTTAAAACATAATCATATGGGAAATATTGAACATACAAAGAAAACTGATAACATATAATCATACTATTGACATAGGGATGTACATTTTTTCATTGTTTTTTTTTAGAATTTCTTACAGATAAATAAGTGTGTGTGTATTGGGTTCTGAGTGTGTGTGTGTGCTTAATAACCCTTCACTAAATTGGGGTGATAATGAACCTGTACTTTTGATCCTGCATTTTTACCTTAGCATTTTTTTCGTGAATAGTATCCTACGTCATTGTTTTCTGAGATACGTTTTAATGGTTTTTCACTGTCCTATTTTATGGAAGTGCCACTTGTTTTTATTTAACAAATTCACTATTGGAAAAGAAGGATAGTTAAATATTTACAGTTTAAAATAAATCGACTTTCTATATTTGTGCTTAAATCTTGGATTGTATCTTTAAAGTAAATTACTAGAGTGAACTTTTGGGACTAAGTATACATGTTTTAAAAATTGCTATCTATAAATATATAGATCTCTCATATAGCTAGCAATTTTTTTAATATATATATACATGAATATATATGTATGAATTGTTCTTCAAAACAGTTGACCCAATTTATTCACCCAACAGCATTAATTTGTATTTCCATTTCAGCAAACATTTTAGTTTTAAAACCATCAGTTTGAGAGCTTTTTAAATTGATGTTTCAAATTTGTGTCACTTTGATAAATTGTAATAATTTTTTGTGTTTTGACTTTATATATATTTATATAGATATATATTTATATTTTGGTGAATTTCAAGGGCATAAATTTTCTCATTTTCTATCAGGGCATTCTTCACTATATTGTAAATATACGAAACATTTATATATTGATTATGTTTTTCAATTAACAATAGTTTTTAATGTTAGAGGAATTTAAAATCTTTAGTCAATTTCTTTATTTTAACTTTGCTTTCATGTTTAGAAGGGTATTTTTACATTAAATGAAATACATCTTTATATTATTTTCTAGTCGTAAACTTTAATTAATTTTGGTTTTAGTTCTTGTCATCTGAAATTTATTTTGATGTATATTGCAAGGGGGTGAGACTGAATATTTTACTCCAATGTTAAATCAAATGTCCCTGTACCTACAATAGGTACTCAGTGTAATCAAGGAGTTTTTTCTTTTTTTCCACTGATTGGAAACACCATACTTATCATATTTTAAATTCTTATCTACATTAGAATCTTGGTCAAATTTTTGGGTTTTTTAATTGATTTTTAAATTTTTAGTCCAGATTCATTGTTTAGTTATTGATCCTTTCCATAATGTTTTTATATTGATTTTCATAAATCTGTTCTCTATTTTCATTTTATCTCCAGAATGAATCTTAGGTTATTCTTATTTATTAAAAAAATCCTACTTATATTTTGATTGAAATGACATGAAATGTAGATGTTATTTTTGGATTAATGGCATCTCTTTCCAGTTGAGTAATCTTTTTATTCATTAATGTTGTTCATTGCTTATTTTGGGGTCTTCTTTTGTGTCTATTTAAAAAGAAAATTGTATGCTCATCATAAAATCATAGTACTGTTAAAAAGATTTTCATGAATATTTAAAAATGTACCTTAATACCAGCCTGTGTGCTATGAAATATTTTTTACCTTTTGTTACTCATTAGAATATTTTCATGTGTTTGGTTATTGCTCTTTCACTGATGCTCCTTCAAAGGCTTCTTTATTGCTAGTCACATCATTGATAAACTTTGTAAATGTGATCTTTTTTCTATTTTCAACTTTTCCACTCAACCTTTGCTGCAAAACAGATTGCTCCAAAACTTACTGTTTTAAAATGACAATGATTTAGTTTCACGCTTCTGTGGTTTGAGGGTGTTTCTTCTGTTTTTACCTAAACTCATGGCTGTGGGCTGTCAGCGGCTCAGCTGAGATGGCCGGGACAGCTGGTCTCTCTGTGCGCATGGTCACTCTTACTCTGCACTTTATCTCATAGTGGTAGTCTCAGAGTTCCAAGAAGGCAAGCTCCAGTGCAAAAGTACTTACCAAGCCTTATTTTATTTTTTCTAATGTATTTATTTTTGCTGCTATATATATTTTTTTAATTCAAAGTGAATCAACAGTCACACACCATAAGTTCTTTTTGATACTCACTAAAATAGTGACTTGGAAAACCCGCTTTTTGTGACAAAACATAGAAGGCTTGGTCACATTTAAATCACTGAGAACTAGAGAAAATTATGACTGAAACTGTAATAATCAGTAATATCCATAATAATCTTCCTAGTCCTCGTTTGAATATTGCACAGTGCAGTTGCTACATGGTAAACTAGTGCAGCATAGAAGTAAACGCAAAAATAAACAAACCAAAGAAAAAACACAAGTCTAGAATTGTTAAATGGTTAATAGTTTAAACTTAGTAGTCAAGTCTGTCATTGGGATAATTAAAACAAATCCTTCTATACTTTGCAGTGTATGATTTAACCTTCACTTTAACACAGACCAAGTTTAAAATTATCAGTAGAGATTATAGAAATGAAAGGATTTTTGCTACAGCATGTTTGTGAATGTCCTACTGACCAAAGCCACTTAAACCTAGGGTCCAGGTGGGAAGGAACTATTTACAGGTATATGGATATCAGGAAGTATATTCATTGGGGGCCATTATTATTAAAATCTACCATACCTATTCTCTGGGCATTTTTGTCATTTTTTTTTCCCTCATTGTTTATTGAAAGCAGTTTTATAGGTGTTTGCTTCTGTGAAAATGCTTTTGTATTATTTTAGGGACACTTTTAATTATAGCATCAGCAGAATCTAGAAATGTCGAGATTTTTAAAAAATATTTTGGCATCTCTCTGAAATAAGCAATGTTCCTGACTTTCTCTTTGAATTTATATTTATAACTTAATTCCCTAACACATTTTGGTTCTGTTAATAAAAGCGAAGTCTAAACAAAAAGTAAATGTGAACTTTGCTTAAAGTGTGAGAGCAGCTGCTCCCAAGGATCTCTGCCCCAATTGTACAGCAAGAGTTCTATGAAAAGGTCAAGTGAAAAATCTAGAATAAAATTGCATTGATCTTCATGCAGAAGAGACATAGGTCATGTTGGGAAAGACAAAGATCTTGTCTGTTTTAGAAAGTATTTTACATTAATATCTTTGAAAGACTGTGAAGGGTAGATTACTACAAAATTTGTCCATACTACCCTTATGTGAATTCATTAACATTCCAGTTGAGAAACATGAGTATTATTTGAAAAAAAAATGTCATATAAAAATGTGTTTTCTTACTGAAGCAAGTTGGTAAAAAGCATAGTCTTTATATTCAATACAAGGGAAAGGGGATAATTTTAAGTCAGGAAAAACTCTGCACTGAAATAAAATTCCCATCATGGAATTTTAAAAATTGCTGCCCTAAGACAATATCTATAATGTTACAGTAATTCAAACGCCAATTCAGATGACTTAAAAAACATTTTGGGGGATGGTGGTGACATTGGCTTTGTGTTACTAATAGAAGTTTAAAGTATAAATGTCCTTGATCTAGTATCTGGATTACTCTGTAACTAGTTTACCCATTCTGTAGTCTTATTCTCACATAGCTCCTTTATCCTGTGAGAAGGACCCTGAGAACAACACATTTACTGTGCATCTGTGCCTTTCCTGTTTATGTCCTGACTTTGATTGTGTTATCTTGCCATGTTTTGGTGTTCTTTCCAAGCTACACCTCTATGTATCTTTCTCAGATACTGCAGCCTATATAATCCCACCCTGCCTCCCCAGAACCATAGGTACTGGTAGTTTGAATCAGAGATTAATAAATACTGTTCATGTGCTTTGATTAATCACATACTGTTCATGTGCTTTGATTGGATAAGCCTACTGGAGGAGAATCTTACACTTTTTTTTTAAATTTGGTGCCTCATGGCACTTTGACAAAACCATGGGCAAACAATAATTGCATAGTGTATGTTCCCTGATGTTAGAAGATAAAATAATTTGATATAATTTATTTCTTCTCCTTTAATAAAGGGATAGAATGGGATCTTCACTAATGATTGAAACAGCAAGAAACCCCACATGTCCTAAGGTAAGTTTAGAGTATATAACATCTAGTTAGAGTTGAAGATGAGGTGAAAATACTTAAGTTGAAGGCCTTTATTAGAGGAAAAAATTCTAGGAACCTCTTTTAATAGATTATATTGATTCCTTATATACTGAGTCATTCTATAAAAATATGTGATCATTAGACCTTTTCTGTGTAGTGAAAGTAAAATAAACATTTAAGAACATGAAAGACTGAGGCTAAGGATAAGAAGAATTATCACAAGGGTTAATCAAATTCAGTGAGTAAAAAAAATTGTGACATTTTCTCTCCTAGAAATTATACATGCCTCTTAGATATATATATAGAATTAATATACACGTGGAATCCTAATATTAAAAATGTTATGTTACTAGAATAAGTCTCAGCCTGGCTTCTCTTTATTTTGTTTGAAACACAATGTACTGAGTATTGCTTGAGTTCTATGTTCTGTGATAATACTTGTTAAGGAATAGGATTAAGGAATAGGATTTCTGCACCTAGGAATTCCATGCAGTTTGTATTTATTTTTGGATAACAAGCTATAACCATGAAAAAAATCAAATACCACTCCCTCTATTGGTCTTTCACTCTTGTTTATTTGTATTTTCATTGATTCTTTAGGTATTAATTATACACCCAATGTGCCAGAATTGTGCTAGGCACCTTGGATACATTAGTGAGTAAATGCAGACATGGAATTTTATAGTCTAGTAGGGCAAAGTAGCATTAATCAAATAATCACACAGATGAAGTAAAGTTTCCCTGAAATAAGTTTTATGGAGCATAAAAACAGTTCTCTGAAAGCATGTATTTACAGGGACTTGAGGGAAGGCTACTACAAGGAAATGAGATTTGGGATCTCAGTGTGAAGGCTGATGAGTAGGAGTATGCCTGGCAAAGGGAAATGACCTCTGCAGGAGGAATTCTGGAGATAGTCAGGAACTGGAGGAGTTCCTGAAGACTAGAGCCTACGGATCCAAGGACAGCCTGTGAAGTGAGGCTGGAGTGGTAGGTGGATCAGACCAAGCAGGGCCTTAGAAGCCATGATACTAAGAGACATATAGTTCTTTTGGAGAAGACCCTCGGATGCACTGTATACCTCTTGCTTGTTCCCCTGAATCATCAGGGCTTCTTGTTTGTTTTTAAATTGTGGGACTTGTCAACTTTAATAAAGAATAAAGTGGGTGTGGGGGAGCTTTAGCCACCTAGAATAGTAATTCACACATAAATGCAATAGTTACCCATGTTTCTTAATTCAGCCTGTCTGTATACCAGTAGATAGAAAGATCTATATTATAATATGGCCAACTTTTATTCATAGTCGCCTAGAGTTACACTTTGGATCACTCATAGGAACTTGGGCTAAGGCCTTTAGTTTATACGAGAGCAAAGCACACAGGCCCCTGGCAGGGCTTGACATGGGACTCTTAACAGCTTTGGCCTTCTCAATACCTTTCACTGTTTAACTTTATATTTCAAGTCATTAATACATATTGCACATGAATACAGCTGATATTGGTAAAATCTGAGACCCAGGGTGATGCACATTAGTTTTTTAAATAAAAATAATTGCCTAGCTGCCAGCTATTAACTATGATCAGAAGGTCGTAAGAGTTTGTGTAGTCTGAGTTTCAATTGTTAATGTTTTCAAAGAGCATAGGAACAAAACTAATTAGTAAATTTTATTGTGAAAATAATATATTTATCTTTAGGTAGTTTTTATTTGTTGCTGCTATTGCTGTATGTGTTATTATATAAAGATCTACAAATGTATGCCTTCTTGAATGTCTTCTTAAATAGCTGTCAAATCATGTAGTCAAAAATACCTTTTATATTTCTTAAAATTATCTGTCTTTGTATCTACTTCTTTATAAAGAAATACCTACTTAAAAAGGTTGGGTTTCCATTGCTTAGTATTATAGTTATTTTTACTTTTATCTTAATGGATAGACTTGTAGGTTTTAATTCATACTACTAAAAATGTTTAATTTTTATAAATCCCAAATATTGCTGCTGACAGTGGATATCACTCACTTTTTAATTTACTAGGTAGCTGCAGTAAGTACCATAGTAAACAGAGGGATAACACCAAAAGCTTTTGTGTTCAGAAACTATGGTCATTTTCCTGGAGTCAACTCTCACTATTTGGGAGGCTGTCAGTACAAAATGTGGCAGGCCATTAGAGCCTCATCTGCTGCTCCAGGCTACTTTGCAGAATATGCACTGGGAAATGATCTCCATCAGGTAAGTTGAGTCTATGGCCGATCTTTTAAAACTTTACACGATTGCTTTAGCCAGGTTGCTCAGTTGGTTGGGGAGTCATCCCATGCCAGGGTGTCCCACCTTTTGGCGTCCCTGGGCCACACTGGAAGAAGAGTTGTCTTGGGTCACACATTAAATACACAAACACTAACAGAAACTGATGAGCAAAAAAGAGGTTTTAAGTAAATTTACAATTTGGTGTTGGGCCACATACCTAGCCATCCTGGGCTACATATGGCCCATCGGTCATGGGTTTGATTCCCTGTGAGGGCACATACTCAGGTTGCTAGATTGATCCCTAGTCAGAACATGTATGGGAGGTGACTCTTTCTCACATTGATGTTTCTTTCTCTCTCCCTCTCCTTCCCCCTTCCTCGCTCTCTAAAGTCAATAAACATATCCTCAGGCAAGGGTTTAAAAAAACTTTTACCTGATTGAAAAGAATCAGCACTTATTAAATGTCACTGAACTTAGAACAGATCACCCAAGAAGACTTACTTTTTATGTTTCCATGTGGTAGAAGTTGTATGGTACAAGATTTGTTGTTGTTATTGTTTGTTTTTCTTTAAATTAACAAGACTTCTGGCTTAAAGAGCATATTTCAGGAAAGATTCTTTGTATTTTCCATAACATGATTCATAGCCAATTACGATAATGATTGCCTTTCCAAATGCGACAAAAATTAAAAATGAAACACAGTCCCTGGAAGTGCAGAACACAATCTGTTTGACAATTTAGGTGGTCACTTAAAACATTTTTTTCAGTTATCGTTGACATAGGATATTGTATTAGTTTCAGTTGTACAACATAGTAATTTAGTAATTTATTTGTCAACATTTATATAACTTAAAAAGTGATCCCTCTGATAAGTCTAGTACCCATCTGACACCATAGATATTGTATTATTGACTCTATTCCCTATGCTCTACTTTACATTTGGTGGTCATGTTTTGAACGAGAGGATATAATAAAATAATAGTAAACACTTAAGTTACCTGTGTGCTAGACACTATATAGTCCTTTGTATGCATTATCTTATTTAATCATCATTGCTTATGAGGTAGAGTTATTTCCATTTTACAAATAAATTTGAATCTTTAGAGAGGTCACGTAACTGGACTAGGATCAGAGCTATTAAGTAACAGGATACTCTCTGTAATTACACTAAAAATTTATGGCTAAATGATATTTAAAATTGAATATTTCTGGTAATTCATTCCCTTTCTGTTATATAGACTCATTTCCTCACATCCAAGTACTAACCAGGCCCGACCCTGCTTAGCTTCCAAGATCAGACAAGATCGGGCACATTCAGGGTGGTATGACCATAGATGACTCATTTCCTTATAATATTTTTTTCTCTGTTAAAAGTGTTTCCCTCATTGCATGGAATTCTTAAATCATAACTTATATTAAGTAATAATAGCAATAAAAGTTTTGAACTGATAGTGCTGAAATTTATATATTTTATATATGCTGAATTTTTAATATAATATTTCACTTAAAATTAATCTCATTTGATGTAATCAGTAGCTTTAGCTTTCCTCTTTGGTTAGTGAAGTATATGGTATGCTCTATTTGGTATTCAGATATATGTTGAGAAAAATAAAATTTTGACAATTTTCAGATGTTATTCAAAACATCATACATAGATCTTCTGTATAAACTACATATCAACTATATAATTTTAATTTATGTGTCAGTGTTTAATAATTTTATCAATTTTTTTCTCTTTCATATAGTAGCTTAAATATGTTTTTAAATGTGACTGTTAGCTCTCATTTTCTTTCTTTGTAGTTAAGAGATTAAAGTAGGATTCCTATTGTCTTTGGAGTCAATTTTATTTCTTTGTCAAATTAGTCATTGTTGAATTGTATAAGACACTTCCCCTTCTTTCTTTTCTTTCTTCCATCCCCTCAAGACAGAAGCTATGGAGTTTTTCTCACATTGATTTCAGGCCTTATTGGTCAAAATAAAATTTTTATTTTAATATGTAGCTTGCTGTTTTTAACAACTATTTCTCTATATTCTTACCATGTCATAAATGATGAAGTAACAGTGCATTCAAAATATAGTGGTTAATTTTTATAACTTTAAGATGGTTGTTATACAACCATCTTAAGGTGAAGGGATTATCAAAAAAACATACATGCATATCCCAAAGACAGCATAACCCATAGATACAGACAAGTGTGGCGCTGCCCTGAGAGAAGGAGAGCTGGGGCGGAGGCTGGGTGGCAGTGGACAAAGGTGGAGGTGAATAGGGGCATTTTAATAGTGTCAATAAGAAAAATAAAGTTAAAAACAAAGACAGTTGTCACGCTACAAAATTGCCATTATGACAAATATTAGTGAAAGTCTCAAATAAGTCAACTGCACTTCAGAAGCATATGTTACCAGATTCTTTTTATTTTTTATCTAAGAAGTAGTAGTTCTAAAGTTTAATTTGACCCTGTAGAGTGCATGTAACAAAAGTAATTTAGTGGTTCTATTTCATTTCAGATAGGTCAGTGATACTTCTTTTCATGCTTAGCTATATCTGTTTTGATGACCATAATCTTTGAGTTTAGGTTGAAATAACTTCTATAAATTTTATGTAAAGCATATGACCACATGTACAGAGAATGCGTTTTTACGTAAATAGTGACTAACTTCAGAAATATTGGCACATCGAATTTAATAAGAATATTCTAAAGGAATCTGGACCCTAAACAAACCTTAAGTAATATTTTCTTTACTGCCTTCTCTTCCAATACTTGAGGAAGAAATGGGGCATTTTTCTCTTCAAAAGAAACTATGAAAGATTGATTAGCATATTCTATGGTATGAATTTTTTTTAATACTTTATTTATTTATATTTAGAAGGGAAGGGAAGGGAAGGGAAGGAGAGAGGGAGAGAAACATCAATGTATGGTTGCCTCTCATGCATCCCCTGCTGGGAACTGGCCTGCGACCCAGGTATGTGCCCTGACTGGGAATCGAACCGAGATCCTCTGGTTCACAGGCCCACGCTCAATCCACTGAGCCATGCCAGCCAGGGCTCAATGATCTTGATTGCTTAAACAAAGAAAACATTTAAGCAGAGTTTCTTTTTAGTTCTTCAGAAGTTGCCAAGAAGTTTAAAACTAAAATGGACTTAACTACAATCCTCTTATCTGTTAAGTTCTTGGAATACTCAGTTATCTCCAGTCTCATTTTTAAAACTACTTTTAATGTCATGTGTGATACATGTCTTAATGTATAATTTACTTCATATCCTTTTTGGAATCAGGAGAGTATAAATTATAGATTAATATTCTATTTCAGCAGTTTTTGAAGGTAGTGCTATAATTGATTGTGTTTTGGAAGACAGCTATATGTGCAGAAGTGGCCCTCGAATGCTGAAGGAGCTGAGAGACCAAAGAATGGGGCAGACAAGTCCAGCTTGTAGGTTAAAGAGTTTAATAGAGGACTTATATGCAGAAACACAGTCCTGGGCAATAACAAGAGAAATGGATCCCTGCAACTTCACCCCTTGTACCATGTGCTTATATCTCTGAAGCAATGAGAGTGCTCTGATAACCAAAGGTGCGAGGTGCTGGGAAGCCCTGGTGCCAGAGATAGATGGGTTAAGAGAGAGACAATGGTGAATGCAACTTGCCCTGGAGTGAGAACTACTGGAAATCCTGTGATCAGCCCAGAGCTCTGTGTACATACATATTCTACCAGTCACCTGGGGGAAGCTGAGAGGCTCAAGGATCCTCATTTACCCACATGTCAAGATGGCAAGTTAAGGTGGAGTCGTTTATGTTTTCACACAAGGCAGACAGACAAATTTCATTTGCCTTTGATTATAAAGAGAATATTATAGGTTTATTACATGTCCTAGAACATTATTGTCAACCCACGGTCATAGGAATGAATTCAATATCAACAGGGATCCTTAATTTGGGGTGCAGTAAAGAATGAAACTTTATTCAGTACCAACAGTTCAATTATGATACAGAACAACTGTAAGAATAGCTCAGTAGTATTACAGCTAAATTATGAAGAAGCACAGCTGTGAAATAGGATGGCTCGGAGGTACTGGGGCCAGGCACCTCTTTGGCTGGACAGCTCTGCTCTGCTTATGTTCAGTCCACTGGGGCCTGCTATGCCCTGCTCCTCCCTACCTGCTCTTCTCTGATCTGGCAAGATTTCTTTGGTGTTTCAGCTGCAGTCTGGGACACAGCCCTCAGTCTGTGGTGAAAAGGGAAAGTGTGGTCTCTGTGGGAGTGACTTTATCACAAGCCCCCCCCCCCAGTGCCTTGGATGAAAGTGAAAATGACAGTCATGCTGTGATCTGTTTAGGGAGGAGAAGTGAGCTGTGGCCAGTTTCTCAGGGGAGACAAAGGCCAGCAGTGGCCAGTTTCTCCAAGGAGAAAAAGACTCCAAGTCCCCTGCTCTATATCCTTTTATTGGGTTCAACTACACAGGAATACAGGGTGGCAAGGATCAGACAGTAAATAACATTTCAAAGATATCTGAGGGCTTAGTCTGAATCAATGTCTGTCAGGAAGAGAGTTGTAGAAACTTTGGGAGACATACTCATTTCCTCTCGGACCCTTATCATATGAATGAAAGCACTTTTAGCAGAGCAGATTTCACAGGTTTATCAGCAAGTCTTTGTGATGCCAGATTTTTCCCTGGGACATGCTCTAGCAAGGCAAGGAGCTGCACCCCTCCCCAACAGGTATTCAGGCTGAAGGGGATTAGAGCCAGGAAGCGCTTCTCCCAGAGAACATGGGGACTCGGGCTATGTCAAAGCTGGGGGGGGGGGGGGTGAGAGTCCATTGCTCTTTGTTGCAGCCCCTGGAGTCCTTCCAGGAAGGCCTGCCCAGTGATCGAGTCTGGCTTAGGTTGCCCCCTGCTGTGAGGGGTCTTACCCGTCCTTGACTTCTGACCAAGCTTTGGGGGCAGGGAGAGGAAACTGAGGCAGCATTTGCTACCAGAGACAAGCTTTG